CTGAGTTTTCCAAATTTGCTGGCATATTGAGTGCAGCACTTTCACAGCATCATCTTTTAGGATTTGAAATTGCTCAGTTGGTATTTTGTCACTTCCACTAGCTTTGTTCATAGTGATGATTCCCGAGCACACTTGACTTCACATGCTAGGATGTCTGGTTCTAGGTGAGTGATCACATCATTGTGGTTATCTGGGTCATTAAGATCTTTTTTGTATAGTTCTTCTGTGTATTCTTGCCAACTTTTCTTAACATCTTCTGCTTCTGTTAGGTCCACACTCTTTCTGTCCTTTATTGTGCCTATCATTGCAGGAAATGTTCCCTTGATATCTCTAATTTACTTGAAGAGCTCTCTAGTCTTTCCCAATCTATTGTTTTTTTATTGTATTGTATTTACTTGCACTGTTCACTTAAAAAGGTTTTCTTATCTCTCCTTGCTATTCTCTGGAACTCTGCATTCAGATGGGTATATCTTTCAATTGGCTTCCTTTTTCTCCACTGATGATTGAGTTGTGTCCCTAGGGCTAAATTAGAGCTGTGATCTGCAGGCAGCAACTTTTGAAGTATTCAATAAGACCTCTTCAGGTAAAGGCTGGATGATGGGCGTTTTTCCTCTGTACTGAGCCTGAGGTGGGGAAGTGCAGTGAATCCTCCTGAGCCCATTAGGTACCATTTCTTTGTTGGCTGTAGTGTGGTATACCAAGTAGACAGAAGCCTTTTGTCTTTCAGGGCTTGATATTTTGTCCCTTGCTTGGAAGTCTTAAAAGTTGAGCCTTTAGATGTTGGGTCTTAACATTTCTCTCTTCATGGAGAAATTGAGACTTCTGAGTTCCTTTCCTATTGTATATCACTGTGATGGGGTGGAGTTTATAGCAAGAGCATGTCTTAGGCTTTGTTATTCATTTCAATGTGTTTTTTTAATTGTTGTTCCCCCAATGTGCCAGGGTCATTTCATCTAGTTTCTGGATTTTACTTTTCCATAGGGAATTGTTTCATGTATAGCTGTAGACTCAATGTATCTGTGGGAGGAGGGGGTTCAGGAACCTCCTATGTTACTATCTTAACTGCAACCTAGTAAGGCTTATATTCAATGTTTTCAATATAGGATTAATTCCTCCACTATCTGAGAAGGCCTGACAAATAGCTGAGGAAAGAAGAGAAGTGAAAGGTAAAGGAGAAAAGGAAAGATGTATCTATCTGAATGCAGAGTTCCAAGGAATAGCTAGGAGCAATAAGAAACACTTCCTAAGTGATCAGTTGCAAATAAATAGAGGAAAGCAATAGAATGGGAAAGACTAGAGAGCTCGTCAAGAAAATTAGAGATACCAAGGGAACTTTTCATGCAAAGATGGGCATAATAAAGGACAGGAATGATATGGACCTAACAGAAACAGAAGACATAAAGAAGAGGTGGCAAGAATCCACAGAAGAACTATGCCAAAAAAGATCTTAAATATACCCATATAACCATGATGGTGTGATCACTCACCTAGAGCCAGACATCTTGGAGTATGGAATTAAGTTGATGTTAGAAAGTATCACTAGGAACAAAGCTAGTGGAGGTGATGGGATTCCAGTTGAGCTATTTCAAATCCAAAAAGATGATTCTGTTAAAGTGCTGCACTCAATATGAGAGCAAATTTGGAAAACTCAGCAGTGGCTACAGGACTAGAAATGGTCAGTTTTCATTCCAATCCCAAAGAAGAGTAATGCCAAAGAAGGTTCAAACTATGGCACAGCTGTACTCATCTCACATGCTACCAAAGTGATGCTCAAAATTTCCCAAGCTAAGTTTCAACAGTATGTGAACCAAGAACTTCCAGATATTCAAGCTAGACTTAGAAAAGGCAGAGGAACCAGAGATCAAATAGCCAACATCTGTTGGATCATGCAAATAGCAAGAGAATTCCAGAAAATACATCTACTTCTGCTTCATTGACTACACTCAAGCCTTTGACTGTGTGGATCACAACAAAATGTAGAAAATTCTTAAAGAAATGCGAATACAGACCAGACCTGTATTCCTCCTGAGAAATCTGTATGCAGGTCAGGAAACAATGGTTAGAATTGGACATGGAACCATGGACTAGTTCAAAATTGGGAAAGGAGGATATCAAGGCTGTATATTGTCACCTTGTTTATTTAATTTATATCAAGAGTACTTCATGTGAAATGCTGGATTGGATCAAGCACAAGATGGAATCAAGATTGCCAGGAGAAATATCAATAACCTCAGATATGACAATGATGCCACTCTCATGGCAGAAAACAAAGAGGAACTTAAGAGTCTTTTGAGGAAAGTGAAAGAGAAGAGTGAAAAAAACTGACTTAAAACTAAACGTTAAAAAAACCAAGATCATGGCATCTGGTTCCATCACTTCATGGCAAATAGATGGGGAAAAATTGGAATCAGTGACAGACTTTATTTTCTTGGTCCCCAAAATCACTGCAGATGATGACTGCAGCCATGAAATTAAAAGACACTTGCTCCTTGGAGAAAACAGCTAAGATAAACCTAGACAGCATATTAAAAAGCAGAGACATTACCTTGCCAACAAAAACCCACATAGTCAAAGCTATGGTTTTTCCAGTAGTCATGTATGGATTAGAGAATTGCAGCAAAAAGAAAGTTCAGCCTCAAAGTACTGGTGCTTTTGAGCTGTGGTGTTGGAGAGGACTCTTGAGAGTCCCTTGGACAACAAGGAGATTGACCAGTCAATCCTAAATGATATCAGTTCTGAATATTCATTGGAAGGCCTGATGCTGAAGCTGAAGTTCCAATAATTTAGGCCACTGGTGTGAAGAACTGACTCATTTGAAAAGACCCAGATGCTGGGAAAGATTGAAGGCAGGAGGAGAAGGGGATGACAGAGGATGAGATGGTTGGATTGCATCACCGACTTGATGGACATGAGTTTGAGCAAGCTCCGGGTGTTGGTGATGGACTGGGAAGTCTGGCGTGCTGCAGTCCATAGCATCATAAAGAGTTGGATACACTGACCAACTGAACTGATCTGAACTGATTCTGCCTCTAGGCTTGGCAAGATAATTAAATGAGACAACAAAATGTGTATAAAGCACTTTGAAAAGAAAGGAGCCTTATTTAAATGTAAAGGAAAGTTACTTTGTCATGCCTGAATGAAAATGAGTTCTAGAATCCACAAAAAGGGTATGCAGTATGGTTTGTCTCTGCTCACTGCATGGCACAGCATATACAAATCTCCCTCATGTGATTGAAGATGCAAATAAAGCCTGTTTACTTGAATTCCATGGTGGGTCAGGTGCCTTGGAAGTCCCAGTATTTGTTGCCAGCTTCTTTTTGAGACATAGCAAGGTGGCTGGTATATATTCCGGTTGTTCTAGCTGCCAAATGACTCAAAAGACCCAAAACAAAACAGCTTTCTCCAGCAGCACAAGAAGAAGTTCCCTTTCTCTTCTCTTCCAATTCTTTTATTTTAATCTTCTGTAATGTGTGGTTTTCAGATTCCAAAAATGTAAACAAAACATGTCTGTTCTATAGTTTCTATTCTCCAATGCAAATTGGAGAAAAGAGACCATAATTCCTCTTAATCTTCTTTAAACATTCCTTTTACAAATAATTTATTTCCAAACATTGGTTTTCCTTACACGGTTTAGAAGAGGTGGAGTGGGGTAGAAACAGGATTCATATCAACATATTGCATATAATGCTTTTTTTTCCTGAATAGCTAACAGCATAGTCAAAGTAGGCAGTTTCCTAGGATGTTTGTGATCATATGCTGAGGCTAAAATGCTGCAAAATACTTGACACATTAGGGGAGAAGTGATTGTTACATTGGGATAAAAATATCTCAAAGGGATCTCAAAGGTATTTTCCTTTCCTGTTCCTAAGAAATACATTTCCTCAAGCTGTACTTTCATTATGATATAAATTGTGCAAACAACTGGGAAATATAGCTTTTAAATATTAAATGGAATTTGACCCTTGTTAAATGTGTAGATTTGAATATTTAACATCACATTCTCCTTGTAGGTTGCTTCTTTTATATGTTCTTTATTGTCTCAAATTAGTGTGCTCATTTCCCTTGTGTAGTTTCACAAGACAATGTTTTCATTCATTAACAAAATTTCATAGTGCATTAATAACATCAACACAGTCAAATTTCCCTGTGTGCCAGCTTCAGGGTTAAAAGAGATATAGGGACATTTGTTAAGCCCAGGTAAATATTAAATATCACTTGATGGGGTGGGGAGTAACAATGGCATTTGCCGCCAGCCCTATGTTCCTTAGAGATGTATAAAAATGCATATGACTTGTTCAGTCTATTAAGCAGATGCTAGTTCAAGCTGTATTGCATATGTTGGTTTGCAGACCCAGTTTTGGAGTGCAGTGGTAGAAACATATGCATGTGTGAAAATTCCAGGTGTGAGTTTAGAGAATGTCATTTAAATTTTTATATTTTTATAATTTAATTTAAATGTTGATCTCAGAGATATATAAATGGTATTAGTTTTGATAAAGTTTGGAAAACTGATTATGAATATAGTAAAGCATGAAGTATGTGGATTTTAAAAATTATATCTTACATGCAATTAACTGATCATTAATTTTGTCTGAGAATTTTCCTCGCTCCTATAACCAGCTATTGATTTACAGTTGTTCCTCTTGATGGTTTTATCATGTGACATTCTGAATTGTTTTATAAGGAATTGTTTTAAAGTTTACATTTAACAACTCCTTTAACTAGGGAAACTATTTCTTAATATTTTAGCCCAAAAGAAAGAAAATATTATATCTCCTTATACTATTCTGAGACATGGAAAATGTATTGAGGACTTTATTTTTCTTTACAGAAAGACAAAAAATTTTAAGAAGGTTTAAAAAAAAAAGAAATTTTATAAAAATAAATTTCCCTCTTTTTTTTTTACTCTAGATAAGAGTATAAAATTGCATGAAATAATGAAAAACAAACAAAAACCCTTAATGCTAAATTATAGTGGGTTTTTTTTCTTTTTCTTTCAGCTCTCAGGAGAAGTGATTTTGCAAATTGCCAACGAACCAGTTCTGCCCTTTAATGCTCTTGATATAGCTTTAGAAGTTCAAAACAGCCTTAAAGGTAATTTTTCTTTGAATTTTAGTAATTTTAGGAAATGAAAATGTTCAACTAATTTTCAACAGGTATAAAGTCAACAACTATTTCACTAGGTATGATAATGTGGCACTTTCCTTCATATAGAGGATAATCTTCAAAAGGGCTTAGAAGAATGTTGGCTGCCATGTCAATAAGAATGAGGTTGGTAAAGATTCTGCCTGCAATGCAGGAGACCTGGGTTTGATCTCTGAGTCTGGAAGATCCCCTGGAGAAGGGCATGGCAACCCACTGCAGTATCCTTTCCTGGAAAATCTCATGGACGGAGGAGCCTGTTGGACTACTTGTTCATGGGGTTGAAAGAGTTGGACACGACTTAGTGATTAAACTACCACATGCCTAATATTCAGTCAGTTCAAACAATATTGGTTGAAAGTTTGTGCTCTTAGATTGGTTTCTGTGAGGTGTGGGCTGGGTCCATTTGACTGAAGTATTGGCTCATTCTAGATTAAGGCTGACAAGGAGAAAACCAGGAAATTATTTCCGTAGTCTCTATTTCAGTTGCTTCATGTTAGAATATATCTCTTTCTAGAATTTTTAATATCACCCTAATAATTACCTTTATTTTCCCTTTTTCTATATATAAACCTTTCAGCAAAACTTTTAGTTTATCTCCATTCTCCAAATACAAAGGACAGTGTTGTAAATAATTTAAAAGTGCACCCTCCTTCTCTGAGCCACACATCTTACTACCATATCATTTGTAAACATGCGTTTCTCAATATAAAAGCAAATATTTTCACTATAGTTTTTAAGCAGTCATTCTTGGAAAATGGGTCAGTCTAAAGAGCCAAACAGTTATAGTATCTAAAGCTTTAATACTTTAAAAATTTTGACTACCTGGATTGGTTCTTAATCCAGTGAGTAACACAATAAAATATTTTTTCCCCTCAGCGATTCTTATGACTTCTATTATACTGGCTGTAAAACTGTGACCTTGGGAGTAATTCAGCTATTTAGGGCCTTTTACTCCCATACTAAATGGCCTCATATTGCTCTACACTGGGGATATTTAAGCGTGTCTATTTTTTTCTATTTTGTCAAGCTTCATTTTATTGTTGTCAGTATGATGACCTGTAGCAGTCACTTTGTCCTCTGTTTAAAATTCTCTATTTCTGTAATATTTTATAGAGACTGAGTAACCAAGTATATGGTATTTTATAAAATAAGAACAGCATAAGCATAAATAAAGGGTTAAAAACTTCTGTGAATAATATATTCTTTGCAAGGATCTCTTTTAACCATCTATTTTATTTTTTCTGTAGACTGTTTTGCTTTTTCTTTAGTTTTCATTTTCATACTTTAAAAAATTCAGTTGGTACTGCATATTATACTTAAAACTTGCAGAGAACAAATGGAGGAGACTTATTTGTATTACAAGAAGATTTGTCCATCTATAAAGAATAACTCTCATGCATAGAAATGAGCCTCAAGGAGTATACTGTGAAATAGTAACACTGTGCGATAAAATTATAAATGATTTATAGGTTGCTTTTCTGAGTTTAGATCTATGATAAATGTTTAATACCTTTGTAATAAAGATATGAAGATATATTTTTAAAATTAAACAAAGCCAGCAAAACCAAAAACAGTAGCAATACTGGCATTTTGAGATCCAAATTCTATTATTTTTTAAACATTTGGGTGTACTTTTAAAATCTGTAAGTAATATTTTAGCATTATTATTTTTATATGAGTGTTTTAAATAATGTAGTCTACTTCTGAGGGTCAGAAAAAGTCCTAATGAGTCACTGTTAGAATTATATCATTACTGTTTTTTTTTTCTTTGTGTGTGTGTGGGCAGGTAGTTAGGAATCTCTTTGAAAATACAGGAAAGTACTGTCTCTTTCTTCAGAAAATTGCACTTGTACAAAACAGTTTGCATATATCCCTCAGACTTTACAAGATCTCCTGAACCCATTTATTCATTCATTTAACAAATATTTATTGACTATCCATGGTATTCCTGGCATGGTTATATGACCAGAAAACCAGAACATAAAACCCAGCCTCTAGATAAATAAACAAAACAAAATTAAAATTTCTACTGCTAAGAAACATATGTACATGGTAGAACAAAATTGCCATAAGTCAAAGCAATTTGTAAATTAGCTTTATGCTCAAATTGTTCTCTAATATCAATCACTTTGGAATAAATTTGCATTAAGTGTTACAGAGCATAACTGACTGTGGTTGTATCAAGGGCACAATGGAGAGATTAGGTCTGGGAATATATATGTGAGAGTTGTGCCAGATGAGATTTCTAACTGAGTGCAGATAGAGGACAGAAAGGGCTTCCTAGGTGGCGCAGTGGTGAAAAATCCACCTGCCAATGCAGGAGGTGCAAGAGTTGGAGCCCCGGGTTGGGAAGATCCCCTGGGGGAGGGAACGGCACCCAACTCCAATATTCTTGCCTGGAGAATTCCATGGACAGAGGAGCCTGGCGGGCTACAGTCCATAGGGTCACAGAGCGTCAGACAGGATGGAGCACAGTGCAGCAGCAGCAGAGGACAGAAAAGGCTTATGATTTCTGGGCATGTCTACATTTAGAAATTCAGAACAGAAGGGGAATCTGAGCCAGAGGCTGAGACGGAGACAAAGGGTAAGAGACAAACTGGGTGAAGGTAATATCTTGAAGCCAAGGGAATAAAAGCTTTGAGAGAGGAAGAAGGGATCCACTCCATCAAATGCTACTACAGGTTAAGAAAAGTGCGGACCAAGTACTGACAGCTAGATTGAGCAAGGTGGAGCTCACTGGTGATCTCACCAAAAGCAATTTTAGTAGGTGGTATACAAAATAGTCTGATTAGAGGGGTCCAAGAGAAAATGAGAATTGATAAATTGGGGACTGGTGCTGGTAGATGGAAAGCTTGGAGTTGAAAACAGTTAGCAAGTTTCTATTTTGATGAGAATGATCTTTTGGATTTGATTGAGGATTTGATTAAGATGAAAGGAGAACTGAAAAAATTCAATTTTTTGAATTTTTGAAGAAAGTGAAATGAGGATTGCTAGAATGTTTTTCTTGAAGAAGCAGCATAAGATGGAGAATGTTGCCTTAGTGATAAACATCCATGCAAATGTGAAGGAACACAGAACATTATCATATGGGGTAAGTAAATGTGGTGCTGGGAACTCTTGTCAACCTCTTCGATTGTAACAAACAATACAATAGTTGCTTGGGAAGGTGAAAGAGGGAGTAGTCTTTTGGGCACCATTAAGTGAAGGTGAAAGTGAAGTTACTCAGTCGTGTCTGACTCTTTGCGACCCCGTGGACTGTAGCCCACCAGGCTCCTCAGTCCACGGAATTTTCCAGGCAAGAGTACTGGAGTGGGCTGCCATTTCCTTCTCCAGGGGGTCTTCCCAACCCAGGAAATGAACCCGGGTCTCCCGCATTGCAGGCAGACGCTTTACTACCTGAGCCACCAGGGAAGCCCCACTAAGCATTCAGAAGAAACGTTTTAAGTGAGATGTGCTATGTGCTGTACTTAGTCGCTCAGTCATGTCTGACTCTTTGTGGCTCCATGGACTGTAGCCCACCAGGTTCCTCTGTTCATGGGATTCTCCAGGCAAGAATACTGGAATAGGTTGCCATGCCCGCCTCCAGGGGATCTTCCCAACCCAGGGATTGAACCCAGGTCTCCTGCAGTGCAGGTAGTTTCTTTACCATCTGAGTCATCAGGAAAGCCTTTAAGTGAGATAATTCAGCATAATTGTGTACTTTTTTCCAGCCTTCAGCTGGGGATTCAGGCATAGAACAGGTAGATTTGGATTTAATCAGAGCTAGGGCTTTGCTGGGAAGGGGAAAATGAGCTAGATAAGGTTAGGACAAATGGGAGTGAGAGTGTCTGACGAGGGGTGCTCATACTGATGGACCGACATACCTGAACTGGGTGTGGAATAAAGTAAGGATACAATGAGAGTGAGCACAAAGAACGGAGGATCGATAGACCTAATTTATTGTCAATCCGAAGAATTAGAAAAAGTACGCGGAAAAGACCCGCAATTGGAATTGTTGAAAATCTGATCATAAAACGAGTGCAGATACTGGTAATGACAGTGTGAGGGTTGAGGCAGGGCCATGGAAGTGTGGTAGCTGATCAACAGGGGAAAAGAGCTATGGAAAAAGAGGCCAGACTGTGTCTATGTGGATATTGATATTGTCAAGAGCTAGGACAGGAGTAAATCATACAAGAACCAGCGATTGAACCAGGAGGTAAAATCTTCAGAGAATGAGCAGGGACATAAAGACACTTCATAGTGTTCTCCTATGGCTAGTGGTATAGAGGGCCTGGGAGAAAAGAGAGCTACTGCTGAATAGTGATGTGACGGGAGCATTGTCAATAGCGGAGAGCCGGGTTTCAGTTGAGGCAAAAAGGTAAAGAAAACAGTCTGAGAATAGGCCAGGTTACTAATCCTTTCTTTGATAGCTCTATCTAAAAGCATGTCAGTACAGCGGAAACAACAGGACAAGATGAAACCCAGTCATTCTACAGTGATTTCCACTGCAGGCCAGACATGACAAAGTTTAGGAAAAAACCCCCTTGAAAATCTCAGGCTCTCAGTTGGATGAGCCAGGAGCATTTTGGCTTCTTGCTGTTATATCGGACTGTTTCTTCTTTGGTTATTGGTTATTTTTGAGTTTTGCTTCTTTTGATGTGAAACTCCTGGGTCTCCCTGTCACTTTCACTCAGAAAGATGTGGCCAGACTTGAGATACACCCATACTAAAAACACAAAGCAAAACAAAGCAAAATGTAACCCCCAAAATAGGCACAAATTATTCCTTTACAATGACCTGGCTATAACTATTTGATCAAAGGGATACGAGTAGTCACCTTTAAGCTAAACATTTTTTTTTCATTATCAGGATTCAAAACTATTTGAATTATTTGAATCATAGTAAAAGATTATTTAAATGTTTGCTAAATTGTGGGCAATTTGGTTTACTTATTCTATCTTGACTACTTT